TAGTACCACCGGGAAAAGCAAGAGGACTCTTTTTTCCTCCATAGCTTACCTGTCTAATATCAATCTGTCAGGAGATAGTGACAGAGTGAACAAATATGTTAAAAATATATTTTTAGAAAAGTTACATACTGCACCTTTAACGTTTTCCAACCAACCAGAAATTTTGCAATTTTAATAGTTTCACCTTTTTTATACTAATGTCTTTGTGCTCCAAACGGGCAGCTGTTTGATCACAGCTTACAGAAAGATCAACCAAAATAGCACCATGGTTGTTATCAGCTGCTGTATTTAAGCTAAAGCTGGTGACTGTAACCAATGATGTAGCCAAGCATTTAAACAGAGGATCTCAAGGGGACTTTCAGTGACTCTTATCCATGATCACATCTTTAGGGCATCCAAGCACTAACAAAACACTTCCTCAGGGTGGGTCAGGAAGCTAAATCCACACACACACAAAAAAAATCTAAGCTACCATATAGCTCAAAATAATTTAAATCATGAGTGGTGAAAATAGTAAGAAGTGTTAAGAGAAGGTTTCTTTCAAAGACAAAAGATTGTTTTTGATTGGTCAGTGAGAAGTAAAACAACCAGGAGGGTTTAGATAAGCAGGAAAATGCAGGGCAGTGAGAAGAAGACACAGCTGATTGGCCATACCTGGCATAATCTGCAGCTCAAACTCAGGCAGAAGGTCGTCCTGCTCACCTGTCCTGCCTGCAGAGAGAGGAAGAGCACAGGTGAAGGCTGACAGAGGAAGCAGGAAGCAAGGCCAAAAGATCAGGCAAATGAGCAAATCTGGTAGTAGAGGGGATGATTGATGGTCATGCATTATTCGAGGGATTAAAGGAACTATGTTTTTACTACATCACCCTGGACCATGAGCTGACACAAAGCAAAAAAAGCATCAAAAGGATAGACAGTGTGTGGTGTTTTACTGCTACAAATGCAAATTAAAAGCTGAAATAAACCTGTTGTGATCTGTTAATTAAATTGGGTGCTGACAGAAAGATAAAGCTGTGAAAAATCACTAAAAGTGATACACAATCAGGATTTTATCACTGTTGTCTTGCTGAAAACAGGGTCATTCACTGTTTAAATGTCTTTACAAGTCAAGAAGRATGTATAGGATCACAAAACTATTRAATAATTGTAAAAAATGGCCTCAGYAGATGATTTTAAATTAGATATATTCTTTTCTGTYTGAGGGAATTTACTTTGGTGACAGTAAAAAACTAAGATAAACAAATCCTAACACTGTATTGGGCACCTAATGTAATGTAACGTAACATGTCTTTCAATAAACTACTCAGACCTGTRTTTAACTCACAGCTGAAGCTCAGATAAGAGTAGCATGATCTCTCCCGTCTTTATCTCTGCAGTTTTACATAAAGTCACGACGGTGACTAAGTTAAAAGATAAGCCTATTTAGGATAGTGCTGACGTCTCCCTTTTGTTGTTACAACAGGTTCAGCCACTCCCCTAAAACACTTCGCTGCGAGCAGGGTTCGAACCTGCGCGGGGAAACCCCATTGGATTTCAAGTCCAACGCCTTAACCACTCGGCCATCACAGCTGCTAATAATAGCATCAGGTTTTCAAATACCTGCTGTGGCTTCTAGTGAGATGTGTTGTCATGAAACAATGTACTTTTTGTGCTTTATGTAAAGAATAAAGACGTCAGAAGCATCGATGGCAMTTCAAAAACTGAGTCTGGGTCACAKCTGCAGGTGTTTCTGCATTTTCTTTTTGGCCCATGTGCTTATTATGAGCTCTAAAACGACTGTGATTAGTATCTGTCTGACCACAAACAGGGAGTCCTGGCACTACAGAGCTCTTGCTGAGTAAGCTGTTCCTGTGAAAAAAGTAATCTTACTACCTTGGCCGTGCACACACATCTGAAACAGTGAGTCATCTGAACTCTGAGAAGGAGAGGGTGCACAGAAGGTGAATCAATGAGTAGAAAAGAAGATTTTAGAAGAAAAGAGGGGAAATAAACATTATAGCCAGAAATTAACTGATAACTAAACTTTAACTAAGGAACATCTTAATTAAAACTAAAAAGAAAGCCTTGAACTCATATTGAATGTGGTCAAAAATAAATAAATAAGACAAATTGGAGAGTCCAGTACTGGCCACAGCTGTCTCCGTGAAGCAGGACAGATGCAGATCACAAGTGTCTGTTTTCCCCCACCAATGGCTTAAGCTTTTTCATTTGGTTGCTCAGTGTACACACATTGGAAATTAACATTCCAGGTAGCAGTGGACACAAACCACACTAGGGTAGATGATGATGATAGCTGTGCAGCACAATGAAGGTAGTAATGAAGATAACGGCTGCACAGCAAAGCAGAGGATTTACAGCTCCTCGGGTGAAAAATTACACGTTCCCATGAAAAAAATAAAAATAAAATAAAACACTGAAAAGATGCGGGAAATATTTTGTGGTTTCCATGARTTTGCGGGGATCCACTTTATTATCAATACAAGCAACAACAATGTATTCCTCTYCACTTTATGCCTTTAAACACAGCAGTAACGTGATTCTAAATGGAGGTGGTATAGTGGGACTGATTGAATGAAATCTGAACTGACAGAAGTGAAGTGGTTCAGAATTTCTCTCTTATTATTAAAAATGACATCACTTTAACTCAGTGGTGCACAGGGAGAACATGCAAACTAGGGGTGCACCAATAAATCGGTGGGATCAGAGATTGGTCGATACTTAGATAAGATCAGTGGAAAAGATCTTCTCATCTACTCCCACAAAGGTCTGAAAATCAGACACTGTCCCTTTGGCTCGGCTGTGAGCACTACCAGTTAAAACAAGTTTGTCATTTTTAAAGGGTATTGTTCAGTGGTTTTCTATAAAATAAGATTGGAACAATGGGCCTCATGCAAGAACCGTTCGTACGCACAGATTTGTTCTTAAGTTGTGCA